GTAAATGGAGTGTCCCTTCACGCAGACGGAAGCGCTGCAGGCACATGAACAGCAGGCTCTTGGCTTCACCCAAATCAGTGAATAGGGGCTGGAAAAACTCTGAATTACTGCAGGTTTTAGTAGTTGAACAGTGAAACTCTTATGGAGGTGCCACTGAGCAGCGCTTGACCTGAGGTGTAGGGGAGCTCGTCTGCATTTGACTTGGCTTAAAGCAGCTCCACCTGCCATTAACAGAAACTCCTTATGATGTCCGGGTTGTAGTAAATAAAGCTATTTTTTGTCTCAGAATCCTTTCTCCTGGAATGAACATTAGTGGGAACCTGTCACTGACATTGCCTCTGAGAGCATGTTCAATCAGCGAGAACATTTGTGTTGGTTGGTGTTTAATAAGAGGCTGCATAGCAAGTTACAGAGCTCTGGGACTCTATTGTCTACGTATTGTCTCGCCTCTGTGGAAATTCAAGGGGAAACATCCAGGCTATGGGGGTCTTCAGTGTGATTTGGTCCCAGCCTCAGCCTGCCCTGCCTCTGCAGCAGGGCAGCACAGCACACTGTGACAGGCACAAAGCCACCCGTGGGTTTGGTTCAGCAAAGCTGGCACAATAACAGACCTTTCCATAGGAGCTGCAGGATTGGTTAAGCCAGAGTGAATCTGTGGAAATAGAAATCCTGGTATCTTTTATTTTCCTTTGACAAAAGAGAGAGAGAGATCTTTCAAAAAGCAGCATCCTGTGTAAACTAAGGTTTAAACTGAACATTATTCCTAGTCATGCAGGAAGTCCGGAAGAAAAAGAACTATGGATAATCAGTTAAAAGAACTGACAGATACCCTGATGTGTTGATCAGTAGTAATACCTAATTTCTATTTCAAGTGTGCTATAATGGATTACCATATAGATGCAGCAAAGCACTAAGCATTAAATAGATCTATGTGTTTTGTGAAAAAGCAATATTATTTCGCACTGTGGGGTTTCTTAAACTATTTCCTATTAGTCTGCTGTGAAACCAGAACCAGGAGTCAATGGCCAGCGTGGATTCACAGCGGTGCTGCTCCAGCTCTAGGCTGGAGTGGAAGCAACTGTCATTTGTTTTGTAGGAAGAGCAGGATGTGTTTTTAGAACACCAGGGGTTGGGAGGGCATAGCAAATGCTGTTGGAAATGAGATGTTGGCAGGACAACAGCCGGAGCTTGCTCACGATGTCCATGCTCCCCTGTCACGCTGTGACACCGCCTGCGCCTGGGCCCTCCTGCACACATGGGGAATTCCTGCTTAAAAATTGCTCGAGCTGTAGCTTTGAAAGAACTTGGAACATGAACAAGTTCTATTTGATAGTGCAGACTTGGAGCCACGATAACTTGATTTGCATTGAGGAGCAAATGTGGGCTTTGAAGTCAGGCTCTTGATATGAGTGCTGATGTGCTGCAAAGCTTTGCTATCTTCATTAGGAAGCTGTGGTGCAGGCAATGCGACCTGGTCACTGTGGCAGTGCAGGCAGGTGATTAACCACATCTTTGCATTGCTTCAAAGTGTGTCATATATATATATATATATATATATATATATTTCCTGGTTTTTACATGCTGAAGCAGAGAATAGCAAGGGAAATGACTGAAGTGTCTCGATTTTTGCTGTATGAAACACATGTTGGGATATGGAAGCCTTCCTCAGATGGAAACCTCTGTCCCCTTGCTCGCTATGCCAACCTTTTGACTCAAGTCACCTGGGAAGGGTGTTTGTGTTTTATAAAGAAACCCCCCTCTAAGTGTGTTATTTCCTTCCCCAGCCCTGCCAGCTTCATGCAGTTCAGTTGAGCTTGTGTTCTGGTGGTGGTTGTACTCCACAACAGCATTTGCTTTCCTGGCACAGCCCGCAGTTCACTAGCACTTGGATGTACAAGTTCTCATGAGTTGTGTTTCAGAACGGGTCTTTATTCTGCAGCTTTGCCACCTTCCAGCTTGCACCTTGTCCTGGTTCACTGGACATGACCCTTGTGTTCAGGTGGAGGTGGCAGCATGTGACACACAGGATGTTCATGCTGTGCTGTTGGGGGGTGACACCCAGTTTCCCTCAGTGCGCTGTGTCTGAAACAACTGCTGGGTAGTGACTGAGCTGAGCCAGCTGGGATGTGTGGCTGCAGAACTGCCCCCAGACCACGGCACAAGCTCTTGGGAGCACGTATGGTTTCTTGTGGCAGCCAGGGAAAACCTGCTTGTCATCAGATCGCTCTCATAAGTGACGCAGGAGTGAGCCGTGCTGGTGTTCGCATCTGGTGAAGCAGACGTGTTCCAAGGACAGTTTTTGGTTTACAGTAAGGAATTTCACTGTGCCATCTGCGGTGCACTGGGACGTGATTTCACTGGTGGTAGTGCCAGATCTTGACAGCTTTCTGATTAAACATTCTGATACGGCAGTGGCAGTTGCTTTTTTGGAGGTTTAATACAGTTACTTCTCAGAAGTGAGGGGTTTGAAACAGGTGAGAGAGGATTTACATCCAAAGACAAGCTGAAGGTATCTCATTCCTGTGGTCTGTGAAGGGAAGCTGGTTTTGCTGTAACAATCCACTGTACTTCTCATAATGGCTCAAACAATGGGGACAAAATGTACGTGGTTTTGACCGGTTTGCCATGACAAATGTGAAGATATTGGAAGGTTTCTGCCTGCAGGGTGTTCTGATGCTTGAACCCAGACAGATTTTGCTGCCAGTTTGTCTTAGGGTTTTGTTTAACAGAGCTCTTCCTCTCGTGTTACGGGCTCTGATGTGTGCTGGGGTGCAGACTGAACCCTGCATGCAGAGAACCACCACTCTTGCAGCGACTTGAAGTATTTGGGATTCAGGCAGAAGCTCCTTTCTGCCCTGTGCTGGGTTCAGTAACGCTCAGCGTCAGAAATGGGCTGGAGAAGTGGTGGGCTGCGACTATTCCAGTATTCAGATGGATAACAACAATTCTCTGTCTGCGGATCCTGCAGTCTGCTTGGCAGAAGCGTGGCCCCTTCCTACCAGGTAAAGCCCCAGTGTGACTCATGGCCTCATTTTTAGCCTGTCAGAGCCTTCATCCCAAGCGCATTCCTGCTGCCCATGGATGGGGAGCCAGACCTCTGGCCACCCGCCCCACTCTTTGGTCCCTGCTCCACGGTGCCATGGGGGTGAAACAAAGCACACCACAGCATGGAAGGGATGGGCCCCATTTCTGCTCCAGGTAAACCTTTAGAAAGGCCAAATGCTATTGGGAGCATGTGCCTGGTGAAGGTGTGAAGAAGGCCAGGCTGTCAGTGGGACCTGAGGTCTAGTTCCCCAAGTCTATGGACGTGCCATCACTGCCATCTTCCGCCATGGAGAAAGGAATGCTCCATTTCCAGAAGGACTCTTGGGAGTGTTGCACATCATTTCTGAGGTGGTGGCAAAATAGACAAGTCTGTCCTGTCCCATCTCTGGAGCACGCTGTTTCCAGCAACAGTACTTTGGCTGTCTCGGAAGGGATGCCCACACTCGCTTTCTTGGCTGTGATGCTTTACTTCCTCCTGTGAGCTTTTATGTGCAAAAGACCCACAAACGTTGCTTAAATGACCTGGCATTCATTTGCATCCTGCATGGAGTATTTCTGGAAACTTAAAGGTGCTTTGTGTGCAGAACTTTGTTCCAGTGATTCTGTTTGGTAATTAAGAGGAGCTCTGTTAGTCATTTGTAACATCGTTTGATCTCATTTCCGGGAGTAGATGTTAAAAGCTGGTTTCCCATTTAAATGTATCTTAATTTCATATTTCAATGGCTGGAAAGGTGTGAGATCAGGCCTGTTTTTCTGTGGGATCCATGTGAAGCCATGTTTGCTCTCTCACTGTTTCTGGGAGCTGAGCAGCAGTGAGTTCCCTGCCCTGTGTCACTAATACACCTCCATGCTGAGCCCTAGTCTGTACTGCCAATAGTGTAAGAAAGAGGAAAAAGCTGCTTGGAGCCTGCTAACTGAAAGTCCTTTTAAAAGTCATATTTACCTAGGTAAGACCCTGGATAGTTTTGATTTGTCCAGATTATTTACTAGCATTGCCATCCACTAAACTGACAAAGAGCAACGTTTGCTGGCCCCAGCTGCTCTTTCCAACCAAGATGCTACGGCTCCGTTCAGGAAAGCCCTCAGGAGCGTGCTTAAACGCTTTGCTTCGTGGTGCCCTGTGGGTAACAGAAGTGAGGGGAGCGGGTTTGACCACAGCCTCTCCCCCTGTTTGAACTGCTGCTGGTGCCATCAGTCCGGACCTCCAGAGGCCCCTTGTGCTGTTCCACAGAGGAGCTTCCCTGAGTGCTGCGCTCTGAATTAACTGAGCCCAGCTTTGTGCAGCTCGGTTCCGCTCCCCAGCTGAAGGCACAGGGAAAGCACTCACTGCAGAGATCACCACAGCGCTCTTCAGCCCTGCCTTAGCCAGGGGTCAGAGCCCCTTAGATGGGGAGAGGCAGACTGGAGCCCCAGGAGCTCAGGACCTGGGCTGTATCGACCCAGTCGTTACCGATCACTGCAGGGGGAGTGTAACCCAAAGGGAGCTGCTTGGAAACCTGCAGCTTCTGCGTTGGAAAGCAGTTTATATTTGGGAATGCCAGGTGTTGGAAGGTGATGGTTTGGGAATGCCAGGCGTTGGAAGGTGATGGTTTGGGAATGCCACGTGTTGGAAGGTGATGGTTTGGGAATGCCAGGTGTTGGAAGGTGATGGTTTGGGAATGCCAGGTGTTGGAAGGTGATGGTTTGGGAATGCCAGGCGTTGGAAGGTGTTGAGAAAGGGAGAGCGGTTCATGACAGTGTCATGGTATTTATTCAGGACCATTCCAGGTATCTTTCTCTGCTATAAGGCAGGAAAGTAATGGGCGAGAGTTATGCTATGATACGTGTTTGCTAACTATTGTGTTCTCAATGTGTACATTGCCATTTCATTGATGTCTTGTGTATTAATTTCTCTGTATCCTCTGAATGAGCCTGTTTACTACAGAAAATGTGACTTTTAGTTTTGTTTCCTGCAGAAAATATTGCAGCTGCTACCTGAGAGGATTTTTTACCGATGGCATTTTCGCAGTATAGGTAAGAAGGAAGGGTTTAAAGCTTCCAGTCAAATAAAATCAGTGTTTTCTGTAGTCAATTCCAGTTCTGCAGGTCCTCTTAACCACCAACTCCCATAGTATTCCCATACAAATAGCACTTACATGAGGCTGGCAGCTGAAAAATCTTGAAGCATATGGAAAATGCTTTTACCTGCTCTAAGAGCTCTGTGTGTTCCTTGGTTTGTGTGTGTTTGGTTGCCTGCTTCACTTTGATTTTGCACAAATGCCTTTTAAATTTTATGTTCTCAGATTTATCTGTGTCCTGTTTCCTTCTCTTCCATGTGCTGGAAGCTATCGAGAGGATGGGGGTCATAAACCAACACATCTTTTTCTACTTAGGTCTCCCTTTGTGTTCACAGACTAACACCAAAGCTAGGATTGAGGAGGGTTGTGGAATCTGTATGTTGTGGTGGTCTTTTGCATGTGATCATAGCCGAGATGCCTGTACAGACCCATAGCACTGAGTGCGGCTCCTTGCCTCACGATGGATGCTGTGGAACTCAACCCTTGCCACCTCCTGAAGCTCATTCTGTAGAACCCAGGCTGTGACCAGGGGGCTGCTCAGCAGGTGAGCATAGGCTGTGCTAAACTGAGTGCAAGCCATGGGGCTGCTGCAGTGAAAGGAGCTTCATTTCAGCTCTGATACCCTGTATTCTCTGTGCAGCTTAGTCCCTTAATGTTTGTGAAACCCTCAGTTGTCTCACACTATTTGTGGGAATTAAATGAGGAATTTCTGGTTTAGGGCTGGGACAGTGAAGGAAAGAGATTCAGGACAAAAATGCAAGCTCTTTGATAGCTCTTTTTGGTCAGTTTTTCTTCTAATGATTGGCCCCTGATCTTTCTGTCCCGTGTAAGTGGCATCATGAACGCACAGTGTTTGTGCAAGCGTGGCCCCAGCTGTCTGCCACCGATTCCCATATAGTGGAGGATCTGCCAAGCCCTCCGTTAGGATGTGACACTGGCCACGACAGACAGGAGATACCGGTGGGGCTCACTGGGTCACACCAACAGCCTGTCTGCTCCTTCCCCAGATTCCCATGGGATTTACTGTGCATTGTGCCTCCTGGAACAAGGGAAGGAACAGGGGGAGTCCGGCAGGGAGTAGTGCTGGCATTAGTAAAGCTCTGCTTTATTGCCTAGCCTCCTGTCCGCTCTGCATGCCTTGGGGGGCAGGTGTGCTGCAGGAAGAGGTTTCACAGGCACGAACTGAAGATTGTATTGAAGCACGTGCATGGGAAAGGACAGGATAAAGTTGCCAGCTCAGTTGAGTGCTTGGCTCAAAGCACTATCTGCTTCTGCTATACTTGGCTTCTCCTAAAGGTAATAGAAATTGTGGCAGGCTTGGTTTAGTCACTCCCCAGCTTTGGAGATCTCAGTAAGAAAAGCAGGATTCATTTTTCTGCACACTGATCATGTTTAATAGAGGATTTCATACAGTTTGTATAGAGCTTTTAACTAGATTTAAATATTGGACTCAGACATTAATGCTATGGGAAAAGAAGTGTCATTGTCTTCAGTTAGATGAAAGTCAACTTTTTAATGGTTTCAATATTCCCTGCAGCCTCCAGTGCTGCTATAGGGAATGTTGAGACCTGTGATCATACGACAGGAGCCAGAAAGCACAATTTATTCCTCTCCTCATTTAACCACATAGCATGAAGCTGGAGTTAAATGGGCACAGCCCTACTGAAAGGTGCAGTGCATTCACTGTGATAGTCAGAGCACCTTTAATCCAGTGAAGTGCCTGAATGTGATTGTTTCCTCTGAATTCAACATCTTCGATCGGTCACTGGTTTGAAAGTTCTGGTCCCAAATGCTGCCAGGGCACTCACAGGGTTCGGGTTTGCTGTCTGTAAAAGCACATTTCAGCTGCTGAGGAAGGGGGTGTATTTCCTCCAAGCAGTAGGGTTTGGCTCCAGCACCATTCTGTCAGCTGCCATGTTACCATCAACACAGGGCGTTTGCTGGCACACAGCTACAGAGTGGAAGTTAAAGGTTAAGGAAGGAGTCTTGTCACATTCCCAGTTAGCACTGATGGGAACAAAAGGAGACATCTGCTTGAGCGCTTGACTGCCGTTGCACCTGAACTAGTGCAGAGCAGGCTGGGTTCAGTCAGTTGTTCTAGAGCTGGTACATTCTTTATATTTCTGCTTCTTTTGAATAGTCGTATCTGGATAATTTTTCGCCTGAGTGTGATAAATGAGCTACAGAATTTGGCAGGGCAGTTATTTACAGCTGTACCTTGTGAGTTGTGCTCGATGTTCCCATGCATTGAAGTGTATTTGCTGGGTATGTTAATAATTCCATTTAGTCTTGTGGAATGGTGGGATCCTGAGGGAAAGCTCCCATTCGGGGGTGTACAGAATTCACAGACACAGGGGGATGAGCAGCTGAGTGCTCTATCATAGAATCATAGAACCATAGAATAGTTAGGGTTGGAAAGGACCTTAAGATTGTCTGGCTCCAACCCCCCTGCCGTGGGCAGGGACACCTCACACTAAACCATGGCACCCAAGGCTCTGTCCAGCCTGGCCTTGAACATTGCCAGGGATGGAGCATTCACAACCTCCCTGGGCAACCCATTCCAGTGCCTCAGCACCCTTACAGGAAAGACTTTTTTCCTTATATCCAATCTAAACTTCCCCTGTTTCAGTTTTAACCCGTTACCCCTTGTCCTGTCACTACAGTCCCCAATGAAGAGTCCCTCTCCAGCATCCCTATAGCCCCCTATCATGTTACTTTTCTCAGAACTGGATTAAAGCCATGTTTTACCTGGAGCATTTGAGCTATAATCACTCTGATTTGAAGTGCAGGGTGGTTGGGTTGGGATCTCTAAAAGCAGAACTGAAACATTTTGCAGTTTCATAGCTGTGTGTATAGACACGAACGCAGTACGGGTTGCTAGCATCATTTTCTCACCATTGCTGTCAGTGTGAGTGTATTTGTATGCATTAATCCTACCAGTTAGGAGTAAGGAAGGTTTCTCCAAATGCAATAACCCAAAATTCCCCCTCCGTAGCTTATGTTTAATGAGAATAATTTGAGAAACTGTCAGCTGGCTGAACCCAAAGTACCCCACTGGAAAGAGAAGTCATGTTTAATCTTGTAGCACTGACAATGATGATTATGGTTGTAACTGGATTCACTTTGGGGTTTTCAACCCATAGTCTTCCTTTTCTAGGACCCTTCTCACTACCCACATGGCAAATGGCACTAAACTGGCCTTTCTCTGGTACTCTTTATATCCGGTAGTGGTGGCAGTGTCCATCTCAGCATCTGACATGTGCCTGTTTCCTTCTTCTCACCCAGGGTCGATTCTGAAGAAACTTTTGCACACTGGGAATTCTCTCAAGGTATTTCTCTGGGATGATGCATTCATAGTGCTTTCCCCTTGGATTCCTATGAGGTGTATTACTGTACGGTTTTCTATTATCGGTGGTTTTCAGCTTGTTGGGCTTCGTTAGTGTTACTTATTCACCTTTTAACCACAAATTTGATTGTTGTAATCCTAGTCTATTTAATATTTATCCTCAGTCACTTTGCTGTTTGTTTCTTCACGATGTCACTGTTACTGTACTTACAAATCTGTTTTAATATCTTCTGCTGCAACATCATTCCCTCGTAGATAAGATGTGAAGGAATCCGCCTGTTTCTTCTCTGGCTCCAAGCGCTTCAGACTAACTGTGGGGAAGAGCAGATATTAATATTTGCATGCCTCGTGCCTGGCTTTCCACCCCTTACCTCCTCCCGAGGTCCCTGTACACTGGATAACCTCATTAGCCCTCCGAATTCACCGGATGGTGAGTAAATGGACACCATTTCCATGAGGGGCACATTGCTTCTCCTGCCACTGGGGTTGTGGTGGAACTGCAGAGCTTCTCATGGGGAAGGTGTTACATGAATGATGTTTGTCTTTCTGGTTTAGAGATGGACCGAATTTGCCAAGCTGTTGTATTTAGTGCAGCTGTGCAGCCTTCTGGTCTTGTCATTCTCAGTTCAGAACGTTGGGTTTGTTGGTTCATGGTTGCCTTTTGTGGGGGTTTAGTTAGTTTGTGTTTCTGCTGGAGCTGCAGCTCTATGAACATGTTACTGCACAACCAGTAGGTGCAGAGATGTGCAGTTAACCTGCAGTGACTGCTTGTGTTAACCCCCAAACTGCTGTCAGGCAGAGGCTGGTGCCACGTTCGAGTGTATGTGGTAGGGCTTGGGAAACATGGGAAGCCCAAGTGGTTACTGACTTCATACAACGGTTTTGTTGTGCATTAACGGTTGTCTTCAGATTCATCTTTTTCTAGAAAATACCTTTTATTTAACTGTTTTGGGGGGTTCTCTGCGTAAAACAGTTTCGTTTTATTTTAGCCAAGATTTCTCCAGAAGAAATAACCCCACTTGTGCCAGCGGTCTCTGGAGAGAAAATTGCTGAAGACCAAACCTGCTATTTTCTTCAGCTGCTGTTAAAATACATGGTGATTCAGGTGGGGAGGATACATGATTTTAACTCTTCATATTCATACTTATAGTAGGAAGTTCAGCCTATGCTGTACCTGCACGGAGCTGGTTTTGCCCCTCCGCAGGAACAAGCTGTTTTCTGCACTTTCTTCCTCTTGTTTTTGAAAGGAAAATCATCCTAAAGCTATTTCCTGGGCTGTTTTGGTTAAAATAAGTTTTGCACACTTGTGATAAGAATTGCTGAATGTTATCCAAACTTGCAGGATAACTGACTGCTTTATGTGCTTGTGGCTGCATGTAGAAAATTGATCTGGGGTAAAGATGTGGTTTGTTCTCTTGGCCACATTGCAGAGCTGAGAAGACTATTTTATCTTGTTTGTTTGTTTCTCTCTAACTCCATGACAAAGGCTGCAAGCTTAGAGTGGAAGAATAAGGAGAACCAAGACACTGGGTTTAAGTTTCTCTTTACCTTGTTTAGAAAATACTACCTTCCTCACTTGTTTCCATCGTTCACAAAGCTGACCAACCTCTACAAGCCTGTCCTGGGTGAGTAGTGAATCCTGTCCTGTAAGTCGAAAAAGAAGTAACAGTGACTGTGCTCAGTAGCATCTCTGTTCCCTGCCTCATATCACCACAGTTCTGCTGAATGAGGAGTTTTCCTCCCTCATCTCATGATTTGATGTATTTGTAGTGTATTTTGATTGTATTTGATTGATATTTGTAGCAAACTTGTGCTTTTCTGAGGTAGTCCAGGAAGCTGCTGCTGCTCAGGCTGCATAAGGGCTGGCCTGGTTTTCCTTTCCTAAGGGCATCTCCACAGACATAGCATTTACATGGAGTGAGCGAGGACTCTGTAACTGTGATGTGTAATGACAGAACATGCTCTCTGATGGGTTTGTTAAAGAACCAGCAAGCTGCCCGAGGCTGAGGGAGCAGCTAACTTAGTTACTCTCATTTTACTTCTTGTTTCCTTGAAGAGAAGACAGGAAGAAGGGCCAGATGCAAGGAGGTAAGATGCACATCTGCAGCTGCAGGATTAAAAGCATGTTAATTCAGAAACTCTCACATTTTTCCTAATTTTTCTACTGAATTATGTATGGGAGTCAATAGGAGCAGTGGTGTTAATCCTCACTTGGTGTACTGCAGCCTCTTCATCATCCTTCCCCAGTCCTCTGACATCTAATTCCTGTCCTTTGCACTTCGATATTTAGTGTCTAAGCTCACCTCGGTGCCACTTCAGCTCTGTTCACAGCTCCAGCCCAGGCCTTCCATGTCTTTGAGCTGTGCACCAGTGACTTTTCCCTAACTCTAAGCATCTGAGTGAATTATGACCCAACCCTGTCTCCCTTCAGCGACCTTCCACTTCTTCCCATGTATTTTCCTTCTTTTATTTCAGTTTATGCAATGCTCTTTGCACCAAGTATCCTTTTTCTTCTCGGTCTTCGCACTGTGGAGTGTTCCAGAGCCTCTTCTCTTTCTCACTGTACTTCATTAATAAAACTCTGTGAAACCTACGGCATTAACCAACACTGTAATAGTAGTTCCTTGTTTCAGGTTTTGCCCTTCGTTTTGCAGCCCTTCTCCTTTGCTTTCCTTTGTTTTGCATGATACAAATTATAATCTGCAGGGAAAATCTCTGCTTTTATGTTCTTGCTTTTCTTTAGGGGTAGCAAAATTCTGACAATGTAAGCATTACTGTAATAAAAGCAGTCAGTTACTGCACCCGTTAGTTCATATGGAGAAGATGCTGGTGACACGTTCAGGACATTTAACCACACTCTGGAAGTTTTCTCAGATGAGTTTTTCTGTCTTTTTATCTCCCTAGATATTCCTGATGTAAGACCGAGGCCAGTGTACATCCCTGCAACACGGAACAATGAGAGTGTCTATAGCACCAAGATCCCCTACATGGCAGCTCGAGTTGTTTTCATTAAGTGGCTTGTTACCTTCTTCCTCGAGAAGAAATACTTACCTGCTGTTCAGAACGTGAAAAATGGGGGGGAAATGCTCCCTAAAATCATTCAGGTGCTTTGAAGTTCCTCTCTTTTTCCTTATGTTCGTACTGACCTGGTGCATGATCACCGTGCACTGACAATGGGAGCAGGGAAGAAATGCTACCCCTGGGTGAATAAATGATATATTTGACTATTTGTACTTTGATGGAGGAGGGAATCTCCAAGGGAAACCCTTCAGGAATCCACTAAAGTTTGTGGCTTTTCTCTCATAGCTATTTGCTTCCCCAGCACCATCAGTATTATGTTCAGAGCTTCGGAATTCAATCTGTAAACTGTCATTCGTGCATGGACCATTTCCCAGCGCATCAAAGGCCTCTTTGTTTCCCTCTCAATTACAGCAGCTTCATGCAATGAGATATTAGAAAAAGACTGCACTTTCAGGTTGCTGGTTGAGACTTCTGTAGGAGCAGGGGCTCTGCAGGGATCTTGGAGGGATAGGTGTGTTTCTTTAACGAGACTCCAGCCTCCTGTTAAAAGTTTAGGATCAATGCCAGCTTCTGTTCTCTTGAATCACAGGTGAGTGTCAGGTCTGGCTCCAGTGGGAAAGCCTGCAGGAACTATTGTGGGAGAACTGTGTATTTTCATGTCAATTGGTTTGGGAGCCCTTTACTGTAGCAGCTGGAGGCCCTAAACCAGCAACTGAAAGTGGCTTTTTAACTGATCTTTTCTTTCTGACTGGAAATTCCACCTTTTAAACTGCTGTGCACCAACAGGCAGAGCCGGGAGAAAGAACTGTTCCCATCTTCCTGAGGTTTATAGAGAGCACACACACAAATTTGGGTTGCATAAAGGTACTGCTGCCTCAGGGTGGAAGCTGGTTGGGAGTTAGCACTCAGCTGCTGGTGTGTGCCAGCCTTGGGCACACGCTGACCTCTGTGGCTCTGAATTCACTGACTGCAGCCTCGGCCTGGCTGGTGAGGCTGAATCTCACCCAAAGCTTCCTTGTGAAAAGCAGCAGAGATGTTAGTGTTGCTCTGTTGCTGCCCACTTGGCTGAGCAGAGAGCAGCCTCACTAACATGAACAGAAAGCAGAACTGTGTTTGGGTGGTGCTTGTGTCAGTGTAAGCTGGGATTCTGGTAATTCAGAAGCAACTTTTAGTCCTCTGCCTGCTCCTGGCTGCATCACTTCAGCCTAGCAGAGTGCAAGATGTTGCAAAGTACATGCAATTGCAGAGCAAAACCTGTCCAGGACATGTCAGGAATAATAATGTGTGAGAGTATGAGCCGTGTGTAGCGCTATGAGCCACCTTTTCCCAAACCCAAGGGGATCTGGAGATTCCTCTCCCCTGTGTCTGTGCCTTCTCCACTCCCTCCACTGCACCCCTCCCTCATTTTTGCTTTATGACCTTGGCAAGGTAGTTGCTGTTCTGGGCTGGGGGGCCCATATGAAGTGTGCATTGTGTAGAGTATAAGACCAGATTCCTTCTTGGATGAAGCAGTAGACTGGAAATGACGCTTCCCGAGCACCGGGATGCCAGTGTGTTGTGTGGCACAGAGCACGGGCGTCCCGAGGCCTGTGTAAGTGCCAGGGCGGTGGTGGATGTTGCTTCTCTCAGGTGTGTGTTCTTCCTGCCCAGACTGTTGGTGGTGCAAGCCAGGATAAACCCACCGAGCTGGACACGGGCGCGTCGCACGCGGGCGAGCAGGAGCGGAGCCACTCCAACAGCAGCAGCCTGTCCGACAGACGGCTCAGCAGCTCCAGCCTCTGCAGCGTGGAGGAGCAGCACCGCCCCGTCTACGACATGGTGCAGAGGATCCTCCTGTCCACCCGGGGCTACGTGAACTTCGTGAACGAGGTGTTCCGGCAGGTCAGTGCCTGTGGTCAGTGCCTGTTGGGTGTTTGCCCTAAGGCAAATGTCATGGTTACGAGGCAGAAGGCAGCAGAGGCTGGTGCGCAGGTAACTGCTCAAACTGGATCTGACACACCAGCACCCTTTAGCTTGGAGTCCTTCCTAGGGCTAGCTTTGCCAACAGTTCTGTGACATACTTACGGGAGCTGCGGGTTGTTGCTGGTGCCAGAATATTGACTGGGCCACTTCAGTTGTTCTTGGTATTGGGATATAATTTAAAGGTGTGTAAAAAGCCGTTAGAATCATAGAATCAGAGAATAGTTTGGATTGGAAAGGACCTTAAGATCATCCAGTTCCAACCCCCCCTGCCATGGGCAGGGACACCTCACACTAAACCATGGCACCCAAGGCCTCGTCCAACCTGGCCTTGAACACTGCCAGGGATGGAGCATTCACAGCTTCCCTGGGCAACCCATTCCAGTGCCTCACCACCCTCACAGGAAAGAATTTCCTTCTTATATCCAATCCAAACTTCCCCTGTTTAAATTTTAACCCGTTACCCCTTGTCCTGTCACTACAGTCCCTAATGAAGAGTCCCTCCCCAGCATCCCTATAGCCCCCCTTCAGATACTGGAAGCTGCTGTGAGGTCTCCATGCAGCTTCTCTTCTCCAGGCTGACCAGCCCCAACTTTCTCAGCCTGTCTCAGCCTTTTAAGCCTATTAGCTTGCAAGTATATTATTTGAATTAGTTCCTGTGATCAACATCAGTTTTTAATGTTGAATATTAGTTGCTTCTACTTGTATTTGTCATTAATTTGACATCTTTTGAGTTGTTTCGGATACGCATGCATGTGGCCCTGCAGGAGAGGCTGTTTTCTGTTTGTTCGGTTTGTTTGTTCTGGGGTCTTGGTTCATTGGATTTTGCTTTGGTTTGGAATTTTTTCTTTCCTGTTGTTTTTTGTTTTTACCATATTTTTTTTCTGGGACTGAGGTACAGATTGCTTAAAGTGGCAGTTCCAGGTGACACAAAGGTGCAGGAGCTGCTCTCCAGCAGCTGAGTGATCATCATTCACAAGCTTTACTGCGAAGTGGCTCGTGTGGCACGGACTAGGAGCCCTTGTATGGGTTTAGGAGCCTATCTCAGTGCTTTTCATTGCGTGGCTGGCACGGGGGGAGGAGGCAGCAGTGGTTCAGGAGGCAGCAGTGGTTCAGGAGGCAGCAGTGGCTCAGGAGGCAGCAGTGGCTCAGGAGGCAGCAGTGGTTCAGGAGGCAGCAGTGGTTCAGGAGGCAGCAGTGGTTCAGGAGGCAGCAGTGGCTCAGGAGGCAGCAGTGGCTCAGGAGGCAACAGTGGTTCAGGAGGCAGCAGTTGGACAGGAGGCAGCAGTGGTTCAGGAGGCAGCAGTGGTTCAGGAGGCAGCAGTGGCTCAGGAGGCAGCAGTGGTTCAGGAGGCAGCAGTGGTTCAGGAGGCAGCAGTGGCTCAGGAGGCAGCAGTGGCTCAGGAGGCAACAGTGGTTCAGGAGGCAGCAGTTGGACAGGAGGCAGCAGTGGTTCAGGAGGCAGCAGTGGTTCAGGAGGCAGCAGTGGCTCAGGAGGCAGCAGTGGGACAGGAGGCAGCAGTGGTTCAGGAGGCAGCAGTGGTTCAGGAGGCAGCAGTGGTTCAGGAGGCAGCAGTGGCTCAGGAGGCAGCAGTGGTTCAGGAGGCAGCAGTGGCTCAGGAGGCAGCAGTGGCTCAGGAGGCAGCAGTGGGACAGGAGGCAGCAGTGGTTCAGGAGGCAGCAGTGGTTCAGGAGGCAGCAGTGGTTCAGGAGGCAGCAGTGGCTCAGGAGGCAGCAGTGGCTCAGGAGGCAGCAGTGGCTCAGGAGGCAGCAGTGGCTCAGGAGGCGGCACTTGTGTGGTTCCGAAGCGCTGTGGCCTGCTGCCCTCTCCTGGTGTGAGCTCGCAGCGTGTGAGGTTGGAGCGGCTGCAGGGAACCAAGGCTCCTCGAGGACTCTCTTCGGTATGGTCAGTGTTCAGGAACGGAGACAGATAATGGTGTTTGCATCCGGTTTGTGTTTATGCTTCCTTACAGGAAGCTCACTCGGTACTGTGAATTCCTGCTTTCCTTCCCCTGCTTCCCTTCCCCTGCTTCCCTTCCCCTGCTTTCCTTCCCCTGCTTTCCTTCCCCTGCTTTCCTTCCCCTGCTTTCCTTCCCCTGCTTTCCTTCCCCTGCTTCCCTTCCCCTGCTTCCCTTCCCCTGCTTCCCTTCCCCTGCTTTCCTTCCCCTGCTTTCCTTCCCCTGCTTTCCTTCCCCTGCTTTCCTTCCCCTGCTTTCCTTCCCCTGCTTTCCTTCCCCTGCTTCCCTTCCCCTGCTTTCCTTCCCCTGCTTTCCTTTTTCTTCTGCTTTCCTTTTCCTTTCTACCCCACTTCTTAGCCTTTCTGGTAGTATTCTGTGTCATGCCCATTCCTCCCACTGGTGAGCTCTACTGTTGTATTAGCTGGCTTGTGGCTCTTCCAGCTTCTGTATCCTTCATAAGTTGGCAGTGTCTGTGAAGACATGCTCAGTAATTTCACACACTTTCTCTATGGCACAATTGAACTTGCTTTTGCTATAACCCTTCCATTTCTGTTGAACCAGCTGCTGGGTGTTGCACTTCCTGCTGGATAGAGACAAGGAAGTGTGTGGTGTGATGTGATTTCCCCTGACCGGAGCAGTGTGCCCTTGCAATGGGTTTGCAGCTAGGCTGGGGTAGGAGGTGCTATAGCTTGTGGCCCTGTTGATCCTGGAGTGGGTCACCTCTTCAGAGTTGAAAAGATCTATTTTTCAGTATGAAAAATGTGTTTTCCTCTCTTTCAGTGTTTTTATAAGATAATGCACATTGATATCAACATTTTTTGTTGGCAAAATGTGATTTTTTATTACAAGATGACATTTTCAGGTATTGATTTCTGTGCCTGTTCACTGCAGTGCACAGGTCTGTCACTGTTTCCAGTCTCCTAAGGCCCACAGGTATGTGGGGAGGCAGCCAGTGCAGCCTTTGGGAGCTTTGGGAGAGGGTGTCTGTACAGCATGACTCCCAGATACAGATACTGAGCAGCATGTTGGGCAGAAATGCACAGCTGCAGTGAGGAGGGATCGAGTGCCAGCCGCTGTTACCCTTGTCACAACTCACTGCCTTGTCTCTATGTGCACCTCCTAAGGTGGCACTTCCCATCACCCACTGCTGGTGGGACAGGGAGATCCCCTCTCCAGGAGGTGCAGAGCAGTTCCCAGGCTGTGCCTGGCAGTGTTTGGGGCTGGTGATGGCTTGGGGGGTGAATCCAGGTGGATTCCTTCTGTGTCCTAGGTTTAGTAAAATGAGTTAACTTTTCAATTCAGGCTTTTCTGTTGCCACCTTGTGATGTATCTGCAACGCGGAAAGTGGTTAAGGTGTATCAGAAGTGGATACTGCAGGAGAAGCCGGTGTTCATGGAGGAACCAGACAAGAAGGATGATGGGCAGGATGCTGGTGACAACCTAGAAGATTCCTCAGTGCAGACGGATGGTAAACATGTATGGCATCAGTGTTACCTACTCCATCCTGTCACCTACAGCACATGACTGAAGTTAAAACTCGGTGTAAATGAGTAACAGCTTAAAAATGTGTGGAAAATCAAGATTAAAATAGACTTTTATTTAGGGACTCAAAATAACTACTGAGTGTTCAGTAGCACTTGCAGAGTGCAGGGAGAGATTGCACCTGTATTGAAACACGATTTGTTGGTTACCCCTGCCTGCACTAACGTGGCAGCAAGAACGGAATGGAGCAAATTGCCTGTAGGTTCTGCAGTGTTAACATTCACGTTGTTTGTTGGCCTCGTGTGTGTAAGAGTGATTCCGTTTGGTGGTAGGTACTCCAGAATCTGACAGTATGTACCGGTTTGTATGTACTGGGTGAAATACTTGGGTTAGTCTAGGAAATCAAAGGGTAGATAAAGATTATGTGCATCATTTTAATAGCCTATACTGAACATCAGTAATTGACTTTGACACTACTGACACTGTGAAGCTGTTTGGAGGGAGGTTTTGTTGTACTGAGAAAGGGGTTTGAGTGGTAAAAACACAGTGAGAATTACAAGGTTTTGACAGATTATTTGTGGAGAATTTACAGTTTTGCCAGGCTTGAATTCAAATATTACTACAATCGGTAACTATAAAATGTGATATGAAATATTTCAAATAACATAGCCTTCAAACTTTTATGAAACTTTATATTCCACATACCATCTGTTTGTTCAGAGATCAAGCAACAACAGATGTGCCTTCCTTGCTGAAATGAAGCAGGACACGAGAGGTCCCCTTTTTGCTGTTGACAGCTTAAATGCTTTATATTAAATATGGGCACACTCCTTCCTGCTCCTCACTAACCCAGTCTGTGTTTGACAGCTCTCCTCTGAGCACTCGGGACACAAACGCTCCTCCAGCTGGGGCAGGACGTATTCCTTCACCAGTGCTGTTAACAGGGGATGCGTGCTGGAAGAGGAGGACAGAAACGTTAAAGCTGGTGCTCAAGCTGCATTGCAGGTGTGGTCTGTAGGAGGGGAGCGGGGCTGTAACTGGATCATATAACCTCATCGCTTCATCATTTAACCTAATCATGTAACTCACACTGCAGGTTATAATACAGTCTCTGAGATTAAGGCAAGCAACTACTAGCAGTTGATGGGCTTTGTAAGCCAGGATTTGCACTGTATTTATAACTTTTTGTAATGTACATTGAGCCCTGGGACCATATCTTGCAGTCAGATAGCTATATTTTGTGACAGGAAGTTCATGTTTTTCTGCTGTGGGTACTGGGAATCAATCAGAACTGCACACTTGCTCTCGTTGAGCCTCAGTTATGGGGAATACTGGTGGCTGCTCAGGCATGCAATGCCAGGGAATGAGTAGCTGGAGGAATGGTGCTCTTGCCTCAGCACATAGCAGAGGTACTCACCAAACCCACAGTGTGTGCCACGTGCCTTTGCTGGGTCTGGAATGCCACCTGAGTTGTTGCTGGAACAGTGGGGCAGAGCAAAGTGATAGGTAAAACATGAAACCTGCTCTAGAGAAAGTGAAAGGTTTGGCTGGAGGAGGACAAGTGTTTTCCTTATTCCTGACACCACTTAAACTGTCTGTCAATGCCTGTTCTGAAGGTGTTCCTGACAAACTCTGCGAATGTTTTCTTGCTGGAACCCTGCCCTGAAGTCCCTGTGCTGCTGAAGGAGCAGGTGGATGCTTGCAAAGCCGTTCTGAGCATCTTTAGGCGCATGATAATGGAGCTATCTATGAATAAAAAGACATGGTAAGCTTAATACATTCTGCATTGTTTAAGGGGAAAATATCAACATTTAAGTTTTATGGGAGAACTGTTGGGTAGGGAACAGACTGGCTTTCCCAGGGACAGACCTTCCTGTGTCAGTTACCCTGGTGGCTTGCCTCGGAATGGATCTGTGAGCTTGCGGGTTCTGCTGAGTCCACATCGTTGTGTGATTTGACATGTGGGTTCTGGCTGGTGTTGCCATTCCTGACTGCACCCCTCAGAAGTGAGTTACTGTTGTCCACAACAAACTAACGTTTTGCACTGTGAAGTGCACTGTGAGTGTTTTGATCTGTGAAGTCTCAAGTGTGATCACTTTATAAGTCAAGCTCCCTGGAGAATTAAGAGGGGGTTTTGGTACATGAAAATTAACGAGTACAATTGATAGAACATGTGAACACAAAGTGCGATTTTGTTTTGGCTCCAGGGAGCAGATGTTACAGATACTCCTTAGAATAACAGAAGCTGTGATGCAGAAGCCAAAGGAAAACCAGATCAAAGATGCGTTTGCTCAAAGCATGTCAGGATTGCTTTTCCGAGTGAGTGACTGGGGCTGGTTGGTTTGTTTGGGGGGTTTAGGTTGGTTCTCCATGATGCTTACCCATAGTTTTAGTTAAATGCTGTGAAACCTACTTGGAAACCATGAAGAGATTCTCCTTTGCAGTACTACAAGGAATTACTTTGTAAATTGCTCCTAACAGAGGGAGACAGGCTGATCTGATCTGTTCCTCAGGGCTCTGTGACAAACACTGGTAGAACACGCAGGCACGCAGTCTCTGTGGGGGTATCTCTAAGGTGTAAGCTTGATGTAACTAAGTCCAGCTGGCACATCACAACTGAGGCCCATTGAATGACGTAAAAACATTTATACATCCTAGTGTACTTCAGAAGCTCAGCTACAGTGTCCAGGCCTGAGTGCCACAGGTGTAGCTCGGTCACTGAGATCACTCTGTAGGTGTAGGAGACAGTTCTCCATCATCATCATCATCATCATCATCATTATTATTATTAGTCACAGTTTATTTCAGTTTGCCAGGGAACATCCAGACCACCTGAGGCATGTGTTTGGGAATGCTTAGATTTCCTTAGTGAACAACTTTCACAGTTATTTACCCGCTGATGTCTGGGGATGGTTTTCTGATGCAAGACCCTGCCTGTGCATCACGAATACTCAGTGCTAATGTGCAGGTCGGTGCTGACTTCAGCAGCATGGGTCAGGGTTGTTGTGCTGGATTCAAGAGCTGTCACTCATTTCTGTCTCTCAGACCCTCATCGTGGCGTGGATCAGAGCCAACCTGAGCGTGTACATCTCCCGGGATCTGTGGGATGAGCTGCTCAGTGTCCTGTCCTCCCTGACCGACTGGGAGGAGCTCATCACCGAGTGGGCCAACATCATGGACTCTCTGACAGCCGTGCTGGCCAGAACTGTGTACGGGGTGGAGATGACAAACTTGCCCTTGGATAAGCTCAGTGAACAGAAAGAAAAGAAGCAGAGAGGGAAAGGTTGGTCTGTGCTTCAGTGCCTTTTGTATCCAACAAGTTAAATATTTAATCTCAAAAATTAATTTGATTTAATCTAACATTAAATACTCCTTAATCTAATGTAAGAACCTGTTTAATCAAATGTGAAGTGCTCTGGATTTGTGTATTCTCACTGTGGGAGGAAAGGTAATTGGGGTCAATAGAAGAAGCAGGTTTTAGTACGCGCTTAAATTCAGTCTTTGCTGTGTAGTGGCAGTGAAACGTGGTTTCCAGTGCTGTGGTCTGGCCTAGTCAGCAGTGCAGGAATTCCTTTCCATGTCTCTTTCTTAACCTTTATTAAAGTATTTTAGCTGCATTTACGTGCCACTTACAATTGATGCACGTAGTTGAAGCAGTGATTGATTTTTATTGATAGTAAAAGTTCACCTGTGTTTAAAAGGTGAATGTTTTTCATGCCCGAGTGCTTGTAAGCCCATTCATACTTAGCAGAAACATGTGCCAAAGTATGCAATGACTGAGGATTTTGCTTGCTTTCTCTCTAAGGTGGCATTTTGGAGCCTCAGAAGACAGCTGTAGTGGGAAGATCTTTCTCATTAAGCTGGAAAAGCCATCCTGAAGTTGTGGAGCCGATGAGATTCAGAAGTGCCACAACCTCTGGAGCCCCAGGGGTTGAGAAAGCAAGAAATATTGTTCGTCAGAGAGCAACAGGTTAGACATAAAGAACTAAATGCTTGTATCTGGAAACACTCGTGTGTTAAATCTGCCTTTGAGTTGTGGCTGCTTCCAAAAGTAGTGCAACTTAATAGCTAAATGCCTGAGCAGAGATGCTGTGTACCTGTGGCTGGATGTCCTGACCACTGCCACTGTGAACAGATAATCCAAGTATTTTGGAAGACTCTAAATAGATGCTTTGAAGCACATTACATTTAATTGCAAGTTACTCCTGTGCACACTATGCTTTTCTGTAAAGTACATCCCATTCCTATTTATGATTTGATAAGAAAGCATTTATTAACATCAGTCAGATAGTACCTGGTGCTTCTGCCCTTCACACAGCTATTGACTGGGAGCACAAGGTAAACCAGATACGTAGCAAACAATTTCATCCTTTCTTACTTGCTTTGTTTCCTTTTAATTGGCATAATGAGGTATGTACAGCATCTCCTTTTCCTTTTCTCTCTCATATTTACCTCTGGAAAGAGGAAAACAGGAGAAAGGAGAGCAGGGGTGAGGAATGATGGGGCATGTCTGAGACCCCAGGCATGGAACAGATATCTGCTTTTTCAAGCATTTCAGCAGCCTGAATCTGATCTCTTTATTTCGTGGTAGCATGGTTCTGTGTTCCAGTGCAGTGGGATAAGGATGAGAAAACTCCATAGAAAACCTGCTTTTGAATAGGACAGATTTCACTGTGCAGCTTCCTGCCTCCATCCTAACAGATTAGTTGTGTTCCTTACCAGGAGAACTTGAAGGTGATTCTGTGTTTTGAGGCTTTAGGCTTCATGACTAAGCCACAGGCTTCAGCTTAGATCACAAAACATTTTGTCAATGGAGTCAGTCATTCTTTGTGTCTGTTTTACTTTCAAATCCAGTGAGTTCCTGTTTGTGCTCCAGTGGGAGCTCACTCTTCTGCCACCGCGTTTCTCCCCTAGTTCTCTCTAGGGGAGAGATATCTCTGCTCGCCAGAGCAGTTGAGAGAACCTGGAGGTGTTGATTATCAAAGGCTTTTTGAGTCTAACCTCCAGCTCAGAGCAGGTCTGCTCAGAGCAGGGTGCTTGGGCTTTACCCAGCCTGGAGCTGGGATGCAGCTTCACAAGCCAAACCAGAGGCAGCTCTGTCTTCAGATCAGTTTCAACAGGTTTTCCAGTCTTTATTTTTGAGCTGTATGTTCTGCTACAGATACTTTGGGGCAAAGAAAAGAGGGTAAAGTCCATTCAGCCCAGGGACAGGAATTGTGCACTGGCAGAATGTACAGTGGGGGAACTGCTGTGGTTCAGGAATCACTGGTTGTTGCACTCTCAATGAGTGAGAGGCAGTTGCACATTATTGACTTAGGGCTCCTAGGAAAAACTTCTGGGCTTAATGGTGTAATCCCCCCCCCCCCGATTGTCATGTTTCATTGTATCACAACATTCAGAACCCCAAATATTTCCTTACTGTTTCTGACCTAATTCTTGCTTTATTTCTCCCTGGAAGCCAAGCGCAGCCAGTCTATCAGCAACTGTGTGCACCTTTATGAGGCTTTGCCAGCTACTAAAAGCGTCCCTCTCCTGCTTCACACTGTGAGCTCTCTCTTACCTGGTATCTCTTACACTTCTTGCTCTCACAGACTGTCAGGTACTGTACTTGAAATCACCTTTTATATGAATGTTCTTTATATTTTAAACTGCTGTCTCTCTGTTCCCCTTCTGTCTTTAGTGGGGTGGAATGGGATGTGTTGCCCTGGTTCTGTTTCTCACACATCAGAGCTGTTCAAAACATGGCGTTAACCCACAGTGGTAAGAGATGAGCAAGTTCAGTGGGAGCACAACTTGTTCTTTTTGACAGTTACAGAGGGTGCAAACAGTGCCTCCTTGTAGCTTTTTGTTACCCTGGCACTGGGTTCAGTGTCAGTAACTTTGTCACTGAAGAGCTACTGCAGAAACTGCTTGAAGGTGTGAGCTGGTGCAAGCCCAATACGCAGAGAAATGCAGCTGGTTGAGCTACTTGATTTAACAGAAAAATCTCCTTCACTCTGTTACACAGTTACAGATCCATGCTTATAAACGTGCCCTTTTTCCTTCCATAGAATTCTGTCTGTAATTATTGATTCCAGAAGCAAATGTAAAAGATTTGTCTGTGCCTTTAGCTCTCGGGTAGTGTTTGATTTCTCTCAGATGTTTGCAGTACTGCAGGCAATGCAAGTGTTGTTCATTTTAATATAAAAGATTACCATGAATCGTAATTAATTTCTTAATAAAGAAATCCTTTTATTCATGCTTACACTTTCTATTACTTGATTTATGGAAGGTTTCCAAGCAGTTGTTAAAGTTTTAATGTAGGGCGGACCAAATGTACTAAGGGTAAGGGAAGCAAACACTAAAGGCAGCAGTCCAGATTTGGGCGTTTAGTGTTATTTAGACTCACGTGGGTGTATTTCTGCTCAAGTGCAGTAAACCTTGGATTTTCCAAGGAGTGGGTCCTGCTGTTGTGACAACTGAAGCTGGAGCAAGCCCTAAGCCTGCACCTCCTGAGCTGAGCTCTGCGCTGGTGCCCAGACACAGCTGAGTAAAAGCGAGCACAGAGTGCCTGGCTGGAGGGCACTCATCCTGCCCCTAGCCAGGGGTGCTGGTGGAGCAGCCAGCTTGCTCGTCCTCTGAGCAGGCTGTCCTTTCTTTCTGCTTTCAGCTGGGAAACCTCTGAAAGTAACTTTGTCCCCTCCTGCATTTCACCTCCTGGGAGGGGTTTCTGACTCGAGCCCTAAGCAGGGTTGGAGCTGAAGTTGTTGCAGCTACTGAATTGAATTGGTTATTTGTTCTGGTGTCCTCAACATAAAAAGGACATGGAACTCTTGGAACAAGTCAGAGGAGGCCATGAGGATGATCAGGGGCTGGAGCACCTCCTGTGTGGAGACAGGCTGAGGAAGGTGAGGCTGTTCAGCCTGGAGAAGAGAAGCTGCGTGGAGACCTCAGAGCAGCCTTCCAGTATCTGAAGGGGGGCTATAGGGATGCTGGGGACTGTAGTGACAGGACAAGGGGTAACGGGTTCAAACTGAAACAGGGGAAGTTTAGACTGGATGTAAGGAAGAAGTTCTTTACTGTTAGGGTGCTGAGGCACTGGAATGGGTTGCCCAGGGAGGTTGTGAATGCTCCATCCCTGGCAGTGTTCAAGGCCAGGTTGGACGAGGCCTTGGGTGAGATGGTTTAGTGTGAGGTGTCCCTGCCCATGGCACAGGGGTTGGAACTGGATGATCTTAAGGTCCTTTCCAACCCTAACTATTCTATGATTCTATTTTATCACTTTCTGCAACACACCTGAGGCAGCAGTGATGCTGTGCAGTCAGTACACGCCAGAGCTGTTGGGGTTTGTGCATGGGCACTTGTGAGGTACTTCTCTAAAGCACACACGATGTTCATTAAGTGTTTCAGCATTACACTCGGTGCAGGCTGAACAAGCTGAGCACTGTGTCCTCCTGAGGCTGCTGCTGCAGCCTCTGTGTGTCACCCATTACCCATCCCAAGGGCTGCACTTCTTGATCCTGTCTGAGGAAGCACAGCCTCGATGTCAGTGCTTGTGGAGCAGAGCAGAGGAGGCAGGAGGAGTGTAACGGAAAGCTGGGGGAAAGGACACTGCTCCTTATTGGAAAACAGAGATGCCAGGAATCTCATAGAAGTTGCCACAGCAGCACTTTCCATCCGGCTTTAAGAAGGGAAGGTACCACTGGCTGTGTGACCTGAGCAGTCACTGGTGGCTGTGGTGGGGTGTGTGGACCCCCTTCTCGGCTGCTTTCTGGGGAAGGAGTTAGCAAGCAGGTTAGGATTGGGAGGTGACGTTAACCACTGCCATAGCCGTAACCAAAAGCACCTCTACTTGCCTGCAGGAAACCTGGAGAGGGGCTTGGGACAAGGGATGGAGGGACAGGCCAAGGGGAATGGCTTGAACCTGCCCGAGGGGAGACTGAGCTGAGCTCTTAGGCAGAAGCTCTTCCCTGTGAGGGTGCTGAGGCGCTGGCACAGGGTGCCCAGAGAAGCTGTGGCTGCCCCATCCCTGGCAGTGTTCAAGGCCAGGTTGGACACAGGGGCTTGGAACAAGCTGCTCTAGTGGAAGGGGTCCCTGCCCGTGGCAGGGGTTGGAGCTGGAGGAGCTTTAAGGTCCCTTCAACCCAGACTAGGCTGGGATTCTGTGAATGGGAACATACTCAATCCCAAATGTTGCTGTCTTTGCCCCCACCCCAGTGCTCAGAGAAATGCATTTCTGCAAGCCCTGTGTTGCGAGCTCAGCTCGGGAGCCCCGGATGCTCCTTTCCCACTCTGTCAGTTCACTTTCTCACTTGAATTTTCATGCCCCTTTCTCCTCTCTTTCGATTTCTCATTTGCAGTCAACAAAAAGCTGCAGGATGCAGTTTGCCCTCAGAAACCTCAGATTGGTTTTACCCTGTCTGAACTGTTGCCTTTTTGATTGTCCCCCTCCCATCCTCACGGACAGGTCGGTCAGCACAGCCGTGCCCTGCACTCTGCATCTCTAGCAGTGCTGCAGCTTCTCCTCTGTCCTGTTTCCAGAAGGAGCAGGGCCTTGTGTGGGGCTCTAGCACTGAAAACCAGCTTTGTTCCCATGGCTCCCACCCCTCCTCGTGCACTCTGGACCCCAAAGCCATTTCTGTCCCTTTTGTAGCCCTTTCACCACTGGCACCGCTCCTACACCTCTCTCTAAACTTCACAGTTTTCTAAGGATAGTGTATAAAGCCTAAATGATAACTCTGTAAGCGGGAGGGACGTTCCAGCCGTGGAACCTGGGAAGTCAATGTATGTGGATAGGTACTGAACTTCTCGTGTAGCTGCCTTAGGTGAGGAGTTCACGCGGGTGCGTCATTCTGAGCTGTGCGAATGTTCTGTGTTCAACCACCAGAAGTGGAAGAATCCCAGCAGCTGGAAAATCCAGCGGGAGCAGAAGCCTCGGGCCTGTTTGCAGAGCAAGAGCAGGAGCTGACTCGGAGCAGCAGCACCTCGGACATCGCAGAGCAGTTCCCACCCGATTTTCTCCAAGGTAATTCCTACAGACCGCAGCGATGCTGCACCTCTGAAGAGCAAGCGTGGGGCTTGTCCAGCCCCGTAAGTGCTGCTCTTACCTGCTTTGCTTTCCAGCGCCGTTCTAAGATGTGTTTTTATCTTGGTTTCTTAGTGAATATATCGTTGGTGTCTTGTTGAAATAACTATTGGTAAGAAGTTACAGACCCACATGCAGGACACGGCCTTTATAAAGCAAGGCAGTGACCAAGGGAACCTTTAAACGTGTGCATTTTGTGTGTAACTCTTGACATTTATTTCTTTTAATCTGGCTTGCATTTAAATTTTGTCTTCGAGAGAACAGCTTTGCTGTTCCATCATGTAGGTTATGCTTATGAAGGATCTTCCAAAACACCTTGTGTTCTGTTGTAATGTATGACTTCCCTGAGCTATAGACACAAGTGACATGTAAACATAACTGAAGTGCTCGTGTGCTGTGCTGGGTACTTTGGTCCCACAAATGTCTGTGTTTCTTGTTTGCTTTCCAAAATTTCTAGGTAAAAAGGCTGGAGCTCCTCATAATTCCACTTCTGCAGACTCCAAATGCGTTCAGGAAAATGCGGGGTGCGCAAAGAAGGAACATGAAGCTGAGCAAGTAAGGCAAAACAGGAAGTAACCGTTGATGAGAGCCTACCAATGTTTCATTTCTAATGAGGTGGTTTTAGTGCTTAGAAACTGCAGCAACTGCCAGTGTGAAAAGCCATGAATCACATCTCTAGTTTGGAGCCTGGAGTTGCGCTGTAGCTGCTCACGTGTTGGGTGATGTGAGCGTTCTGCCTCTCCCTCTCTTGTCAGTTGTTTCTGCAGGCTGAGGTGGTGCCTGTATTGCAGGTTTATGTGAGACTTCTGTGCTTTTTATATTAACTAGAAACACGAAGTTAATAACTTTTAAAGTGTAAATAATTCATGGCTATTACAGAGCTACAGTGCACTGGAATAAATGTTTCATGGTTTAAAGTACTGGGGGAAGTGCTCTCCTCCAGCACCATTTGTGTCACCAGCTGTGTACTGCAGAGGGCTGTGCAAGTTACCATCAGGACAGGAAAGCTTCATAAATTTTTAATGCAACTTTGGACTAAATGGCAGAAATAATGATGGCTGGGGCTGATCATCCCGGTGGAAGTGTAATGCAGCGTGGCACGGAGGGCTTCAAGCTGAATCTTGTCTTTGGACCGTGGCTCTCCCATATGTCTGGACTTGGAAGTGCCACTAATTGTGTCCCATTGCCTGGGAGTGATGGGCAGGTCTCTCCAGCTGCAGTGGTAGATAATGCCATGATGATTTCTAAAGCCAGATGTCTCTTTGGGGGCAAGAATTGCTCAGATTTAGGCAGAAAGAATGAATGGATTCATGTCTGGCCAGGGGTCAGAAATTGCTTTAAGGGATGTATACATTTATTTAAAACTAGTAACAGTAATAATTGCGAATCTCAAAATGGAATGTCACAAATGTTACCTGAATTGAAGAATTTCCTTTTTTCTACTCCTGAGAGTAGAGATTCCTTCAGCAGTTAGATCAGTGTGCCCCGAGGGCCTTTGTGTTGGGGCTTGGTGTTAAGTTCTGCCAATACAGGTGCCACAGAGATGTGAATTGGAAGGTGACCTGCCAGATGTAAAGAAAACCAGTGATGTGCAGGGGCAGAGCAGTGCTGTGTAGAAGCAGAAAATGGTCTGAAGAGTTTTCAGCAAGTAGTTCTAAACCCATGTGGTGAAGGAGGAGGAGGTGAACAAAGGATGGGGTGTCTTTTTATGGGTTGTCTTGCAGCAGGATAATGCTCTGACAGAAGAGATGATGCTGATTCCTCCCTGGAAGATTTTTGATACTTTCTGTACTGAGTCTTCAGATTTGTGGAAAAATGTAGATAAAAAGTCCTGCTTTTTGGTATGAAAACTGAGCCTAGGGAAGGGAGGATAAAGGCTGAAGCTGAGAACATGGTCATAGAATCAGAATCATAGAATATTTAGGGTTGGAAAGGACCTTCAGATCATCCAGTTCCAACCCCCTGCCATGGGCAGGGACACTTCACACTAAACCATCTCACCCAAGGCTCTGTCCAACCTGGCCTTGAACACTGCCAGGGATGGAGCATTCACAACCTCCCTGGGCAGCCCATTCCAGTGCCTCACCACCCTCACAGGGAAGAACTTCCTCCTTACATCCAGTCTAAACTTCTCCTGTTGGTTCCCTGAAGTCATTTAGAGATATTTGGGCAGTCTAAATATTAATTGAAATATCTTGTCTGGGTTATAACTGATTTCTAGTGACTGTGTATGTAGCTCTGATTTGCTAAAACGTGATGTGGTTCTCGGAAGTGTGCTAAACTGAGATGAATGTGTTTCTCCGAAGGTACCAGTCCGAAGAAGCAGCAGCACAGCTGAGTTGGATTTGAGGGCAGACTGGCAGCAATCCCATGGGAGCTGCAGAGAGAGAGAAAAAAGTGAGTTCCAAGACGCAGCCTTTTTCTGAAGTGTAGCACCTGGGGTCAGTGTCAGGTTCTGTCTTGCTGCAGATGTAGTGGCCACTTTTCTCATGGTGCTTTGCTAATGTAGTTGTTAGAAACCGGGTTTGTGACCTGGTTAATGCGCTCCCTGCCGCAGGTGAGAGCGTCAGCAGTGACACGTCCATTGGCTACAACAACGAGGTGGAGATCGCTCTCATCCCCTGGCAAGCTTCTGAAGATGACCCTGAGGTGAATGCCTCCGCAGACGTTTGTGTGGATGCTGATGCCCCTCGCTGGCTTCAGCTTAGCCCCTCAGACACCGCGAACCTGACAGGTACTGCACTGCAGGGAATGTGTTCTACACTGTGATCTCCCAAAGGACTTCGCACAGTTTAGCTTGCTTATAAAAAGTATGTTTCATTTATCTCGTTCCCTTCATGATGCTCATTCAAAAGTGAGTTTTCAATGCGTAGAGTTTAAGAATTTGGATAATTAGGAGCCGAACTACGTGCCAGCAAACTGTGATACAGAAAAGGATCAAACAGTTGAAAATAATGGGGTTGCTTTCTGTGTCAAATCACTGCTCATCAGCTGACTTGTGACAGCTGATCACGTGTGCTCTCTGAGCCTGTCCCACTAATGCCCAGTTTTAATTCCTATATAAAGTGAACAGGTTATAGTTCCTAGCAGAAAGGTACAAACGAAGCAAAAAAGCAAAACAAAATATCCCAAAAGCTTTTTAAAGAAATCAATTCACATGAACATAAAAGCATCTAGAATGGCTTTCACTTTGCTGACCCTCTTTGGGTCCTGGGGTTACTTCCCTCTGCCTATGTAGAGGGTTCCTGTACCTCTCCCCCAGCCCTCGGGTGCTGAGCACTGCAGGGAGCCCCCTGGGGCTGGTTGTGCCTGCAGACAGGCTGCTGCGTGGCTCTCGCTGCGCTGAGAGCAGGCTCTTGTCAGCAGCAATTCCACTTCCGTATGGAATTCTGCTCGTACTGTCCCAGCAGACAAATCCCGTTGTCCTGGTGGTCTTCACAGCCCCCTGCTCTCCTGCTCAGTTTGAGTACTGCAATCTCAGGAACAGTCCCTGCATAAATGAGGATGCCCGAGCATGCTCTTCATCACCAGCAGTGCATACATAGAATCATAGAATCGTTAGGGTTGGAAAGGACCTTAAGATCATCCAGTTCCAACCCCCCTGCTGTGGGCAGGGACACCTTATGCTAAATCATATCACCCAAGGCCCCACCTCTTAGGGCCTTTGTTCACTTGCATTTCCAGGTCGTTTTACACTGTGTGATCTTAAAAGAGAAAGGGCTTTTAGGAATAGAAATCACAGAATCGTGGAATCCCAGCCTGGTTTGCGTTGGAAGGGACCTTAAAGCTCATCCAGTTCCAACCCCTGCCATGGGCAGGAACACCTTCCACTAGAGCAGCCCCTGCCCGTGCCAGGGGGGTTGGAACTGACTGCTGAAATGTTAACTGTAAAAGCCAGTTATTGGTTGAATAAATCTCTCTGACTGCATGAATGTTCCATTTGGAACTCGCTGGTAAAACAAACCTAACGTTGAGGGGGTCAGTCTGATGTAAACTGCTCTGTGGCTGAATCACCTCTGCATGGAAGGCCCGTGAGCCCACACTTTCTGCTGTGTTGTGGTTTTGAACCGTGTGCTAGCTTGAGCAATGAAAAAGAGAGGGGTGATTTGGAGAGAGAGAGAACTTCAGAGGTGGGAAATGGTTAAAAGGAGCAGTTTTCCTGGTTTACTGACCCAGTTTATGCTGACACTGTGTTCCTGATTCATGGAAATGGACCTGTGTTGGATTTCCAGACAGCAGTGAATTCCTTGCTGATGACTGCAGTATAATTGCTGGTGGAAGCCTCATCGGTTGGCACCCCGATTCTGCTGCCGTGTTATGGAGGAGGATCTTGGGAATTCTTGGAGATGTGAACAATATAAAGTCACCTAAAATTCATGCAAAAGTGTTTGGGTATCTCTATGAGTTGTGGTACAAACTCGCAAAGGTACGTGGATGGTGCTTACACCTACTGATCTGGTTTTTCTGCTGCTTAAAAATTAATAAATATGATTTAGTGTTAGCATCTGGAACAAAAGCATGGGATTTGGAGGATTCTCTTGTCAGGTAGGCTAATCCTGTTTGATTTCCAGTAGGTATCCCCAGTAGAGAATATCCCTCTTCAATGATAAGAGAATTTAGACAGTTAATTTATATGGGGTGGGGAAATACTAGCAAAGAAAGTAGAGGTATAGAACAGAATATTGGTGCAAAAGCCCATGGTATGACCTGAAAGGGCAAGACTTGCTTAGGACATGGGGAAGCCCTATAGAATAAGCTTTCCAGGTAGTTTTGGCTGAAGTAGGAGCTCTGTATATGCAGAATGTAGTACCTCAAAATAATGAAACCAAACTAAAATGAGAAAGTAATAATGTGAAATAAGGAGCCATCAGTTTTACTGGCTCTTCTCCTTTAAAACCGCCTAGATTCGGGACAACCTCGCTATAAGTGTGGACAATCAGTCTACTCCCTCTCCTCCTGTCCTCATTCCTCCTCTCAGGATATTTGCATCTTGGTTGTTCAAGGTAAGTGGTTTCTAAACTTCTCACACATTGGTGTTGTCTCCTGTTTCAGTACTGAATGTGTGTATGTTCAGTTGTGTTACTGTTAATGGTTGCAGCCACTGCTGCTAAGAGGATGAATATCCTCCAAAGGCTGTTTGGACTCGAATCTCCTGTAGCAAATACAGGGAACAGCTTTGCTTTATGCAGAATCCGCTGGAGATGCACTTCTGCATTTGCTGGCTACCTGAGAAAAAAGCACTAATACAAGGATTTTGCTCTTTTCAGGCAACCACGCTGCCAAGCGAGTACAAGGAAGGCAAGCTGCAGGCATACAGGCTCATCTGTGCCATGATGACGAGGCGACAAGATGTTCTGCCAAACTCTGATTTCCTGGTTCACTTCTATTTCGTGATGCACCTTGGGTTGACAAGTGAAGACCAGGTACAAGCTTTCCCTGGTAAAAAGAGAATTTATTATTGTGTGCTGATGGAGATGTCTGTTTTCTGTGTTACAATTCTTGTGTTGGGGCTCTGGGGCAGCAGCACAAGAGGGACGTGGAGCTGTTGGAGCGAGGCCAGAGGAGGTCACGGAGATGCTGCGAGGGCTGGAGCAGCTCTGCTCTGGAGCCAGGCTGAGAGAGCTGGGCTGGGGCAGCCTGGAGAAGAGAAGGCTCCTGAAGGGGAGACCTGAGAGCAGCTCCAGTGCCTGAAGGGGCTGCAGGAAAGCTGGAGAGGGGCTTGGGACAAGGGATGGAGGGACAGGCCAAGGGGAATGTCTTGAACCTGCCCGAGGGGAGACTGAGCTGAGCTCTGAGGCAGAAGCTCTTCCCTGTGAGGGTGCTGAGGCGCTGGCACAGGGTGCCCAGAGAAGCTGTGGCTGCCCCATCCCTGGCAGTGTTCAAGGGCAGGTTGGACACAGGGGCTTGGAGCAAGCTGCTCCAGTGGAAGGTGTCCCTGCCCGTGGCAGGGGTTGGAACTGGAAGAGCTTTGAGGTCCCTTCCAACCCAAAGCAGTCTGGGCTTCTGTGATTTTCATATTTGAAGATCTGAAGCAGAAAGGAAGCAATGCTTTGTGACACTTGTTGCACGGAATTGCCTGGTGTAGTGTGGTCTGTACCTCTCTTTAAATTACTTAGTCATAAGTTTCTCATTGCTCCCCCAGTTAACAAGTACGTATTTGTGATGCACTGTTACAACCCATCACAGCTCATCTTAGGGATGCTTGTACCTTCTGGCACAGGGTAAAATGCCAGACATGATCTTGGGTGAAGGAGGGGCTGTTAAGAGCTTCCTGTTAACTTAGGAGCAGTGTCTGCTCTCAGCACACCCTTTGAATGCCCTGTGCATTGTGTGCAAGAACCTCCTCGAAATTACAATTACTGTTGGCCTCCCCAGACTTTTGCCCTTCCTTCAGGGGAGGTTTAACATACCCGCTCTTCCTGACTGCTGCAAGGGGGCTGGGACAGAAGGTTATCTTACCACTGAAGCCAAGAGGCGCTGCCGGAGTGTTCTGCAGCTGAGGATAAGTGTGTCTGGGTCCCTGTGCCCTGGGCTGGCCTCGCTAATAAAGCATTCAGTGAGAGATGGAGATGAGACTTCATCCGTTGAGGTGTAAGGAGCTTACTGCGCCGCAGAGACGGCTGAGTACGGGCAACAGCTCGGAGAGTTACTCTTAGCAAAACAGGATGTGTGAAAACACGTCCATGGTTTTATGGCTGGGGGGGAGCGGTGACAGCACGGGCAGAGCCGAGCTCCGGTGCCTCGGAACCCTGCGGTGCTCACGGCTCTGCCGGGGGCCTGCAGGGAGAGCCCCGCCGGCTCCCTTGTTTCTGAGGTGGAGAGGGGAACAGTCCCAGCTCCCCTCCTGACAAGGGAGAGCATGTGGAAAATCCGCCTTTTAAAGAGATCACGGAGGGGAAAAAAGAGTAGAAAGGAGGTGGTTTTCTTGTGGAAAACCAAGTCCTGGCCAGTGTGGAAACAGAAGAACTCCCCTTCCTGCACTGTCGGGGTGTAACCTGGGGGTAAGGAAGAGCTTGTTGCTCTTTCGTACCCCTAATGCCGTTCGGATTTCAGTTTAACCCTGCCTGGTGAACGCAGTAACTTCATTTCTCTACAACCCCCCTGTGTGCTAACACCCACTGTGGTCAGACCCCCTCAGTGTTAAGAACCACTCAGCATTACATCCTCTCGCATAAAGCACGCAACTCACCAAACGTTAGAGCCTGATGTAGGCTGAATTGAAATAAAATACTACCTTTTACATTTGAAAACACAAAGGCCCTGAATCAGTAGAGCAGCGACTGCCAGCACAGGCCATAGGGATGGGCAGTATCAGTGCCTGTAAGACTTCAGTTGTTTTCATCTACAGCTTTCCATGACATGGCCAGGTTCAGAAGTGTCAGCAGCTCCTTTCTTCAAAGCTGGAGGGTGCTCTGCTTTTTCCGAATCTGGTGGCTTCCAGTTCCTACATAGAAACTGGGGGACTTCTGAAATGTGAGCAGGTTGTTGTTGAGCTGCTCTTTACCCTGTCCATCACACTTCGGTGTCAGTAGCAGTCCCACAGGCTTTACGCTCTCGCTGCTGTGCGCACTGGGTTTCAGTCCTTGTGCAGAGCCCCAGTCCCCAAGTGAAAGAGGATGGAGAGGTGGACACTGCGCAGTGAAGGCAGACCCCGCGCTGCCCATCCTTCCAGGCTGGCCCAGCTGTTTTCCACACTGATGCTGCTCTTTTGTTCCTTCTCATCTCACTCTGTTTTGCTGCTTTTGCCTCTTGGTGGCACACTTGACCACAGGTTTTCTCGTGTGTTGCTGTCCTTGCAGTTTTGCTTTCCTTAGCTATGGAATTGCTTGAGATATTAGCTCATGGTGCTTGGGAGCTCGGATTCTCATGCAACAATCCGTGTGCCTGTTTCTGTATTTCCTGTATCACAGAATCCGAGACTGGTTTGTGTTGGAAGGGACCTTAAAGCTCCTCCAGCTCCAACCCCTACCATGGACAGGGACACCTTCCACTAGAGCAGCTTGCTCCAAGCCCGTGTCCAACCTGGCCTTGAACACTGCCAGGGATGGGGCATGATTTGCCTCAAGGTGCTGGGTGGGTGTTGAGTCTGGTCCAGTAATTTGGATGCTGAGGGCACTGCCTGCTGCAAGGGCAGGTTCTGTGGTTTTTGGGGTTTGGTATGTGCTCTTCCCTGATAAACCTCTTTAAAAGAGGGAGTGATGTCCTGGGCACAGGGATCGCTGGGACACAGACCCCTGTGCTCTGCAGCACTGCAGAATTCGAGGATTCCAGGCACTGCCCACCAGAATAAGCTGTGGTGCAGATTCTTCTAGCACAGATGTTTCTGTGTGCTAAGCAGAAGCATGGATTTCTCACACTTAAGGAACACAAGCAGGAGAACTGGGGGGATGTTCTCACTGAGCAGTTTTCCTTCGGTGTGTATCACTAGTGCAACTTTAGAGTTACTGGGGAAAGCAGGAGGAGTGTGGACAAACCCCAGGAGAACACTTCGGCTGTGTTAGAAGAGCTTTGAGTCACTACATAAATTACAGTCAGAATCCCCTTTGACCTGACTGTGATTATCAGTTATTTCAGTCTGTTAGGTATAGTTCATAGGTGGTTATTTTATTTAGTTAGCATCACAAGGGTTGCTTTCCGCACCTTATTTCTGTTTCCACTCCCCCCTTAAGGGTACGAAATTCCTGCTGTGTTGTGTAGCTCTTTGTGCTGACAGGAAACCAAACCAGCCCATCTGGAACACGGTTATGAATTATCCAGTAACATCCCAGTGAGTGGGGCCGCCTCGGGGGTGTGTGAAGGAGCAGTATGAGGTGTGCTGTGGGGTGTGCTGTGGGGTGTGCTGTGAGCTGTGCTGTGGGGTGTGCTGTGGGGTGTGCTGTGGGGTGTGCTGTGGAGTGTGCTGTGGGGTGTGCTGTGAGCTGTGCTGCGAGCTGTGCTGTGGAGTGTGCTGTGAGCTGTGCTGCGAGCTGTGCTGCGAGCTGTGCTGCGAGCTGTGCTGTGAGCTGTGAGCTGTGCTGTGAGCTGTGCTGTGAGCTGTGCTGCGAGCTGTGCTGCGAGCTGTGCTGTGGGGTGTGCTGTGAGCTGTGCTGTGGGGTGTGCTGTGGGGTGTGCTGTGGGGTGTGCTGTGAGCTGTGCTGTGAGCTGTGCTGTGGAGTGTGCTGTGAGCTGTGCTGTGAGCTGTGCTGTGAGCTGTGAGCTGTGCTGTGGGGTGTGCTGTGAGCTGTGCTGTGGGGTGTGCTGTGAGCTGTGCTGTGAGCTGTGAGCTGTGCTGTGGGGTGTGCTGTGAGCTGTGCTGTGGGGTGTGCTGTGAGCTGTGCTGTGAGCTGTTATGTGGGGTGTGCTGTGGGGTGTGCTGTGAGCTGTGCTGTGAGCTGTGAGCTGTGCTGTGAGCTGTGCTGTGGGGTGTGCTGTGAGCTGTGATGTGAGCTGTGCTGTGAGCTGTGCTGTGAGCTGTGCTGGGGGTGCGAGCTGTGAGCTGTGCTGTGAGCTGTGCTGTGAGCTGTGAGCTGTGCTGTGAGCTGTGAGCTGTGCTGTGAGCTGTGAGCTGTGCTGTGAGCTGTGCTGGGGGGTGTGAGCTGTGCTGTGAGCTGTGCTGTGAGCTGTGAGCTGTGCTGTGAGCTGTGATGTGAGCTGTGAGCTGTGCTGTGAGCTGTGAGCTGTGCTGTGAGCTGTGCTGTGAGCTGTGCTGGGGGGTGTGAGCTGTGAGCTGTGCTGTGAGCTGTGTTTTCCATGGGGCTCCCCTGGCCCTCGGGGCAGGATGCAGCAATTAGGACACGGCAGGGTAATGAGCTGTGCCTGTTTGTGTGTGTGACACCCGGCCAACAACCGTCTCTGAGGGCAGGTGAACAATTCTGCGCCGCGGTTGCATCACCTCCTCAGGTGGGAGAAGGGGCTGAGCCCAGGCTGGTGCTGTCACTGCTCCTGGCTCAACAAGGGGCCTCGGGTCAGGGGCCAAGTGAGCATCTGGGGTGATGGGTTTCCTCCTCCTCTGCTCCCAGCAGCGGCCGTTCTGCTGCAGCGAGCCGGGTTTCTCCTGCAGCTCCTTAGCAGTGAAGTTCGCTGGGGCTCTACCTTCCCTCCCTCCCATGCTACAGGACAGCGAGTGTGGATGTTCACTGCCCTGCTGTGGGGCAGTGGAGGGAGGTCACCTTCTGTTGTCCTAGTCCCTTGTGTGGGTTATGGGGAATCGTGGAATGCTTTGGGGTGTGAATCTTAGGCTATGTCCCAGGGGAGCCTGGTGTGGTTTGGGTTGGTATAGCTGCCTTCTGCTACTTGGTGAACCCTCCCCGCCATGCCCATGATTGCACCCACACGTCTTTCAATTTGGACTATAAAGAAAGCTTTTTAAATGAAACCACATCTGGTACTGCAGTGCACACACAGTCAGGAGAGGGAAGGCGTTTTGTTATCGTGGTGCTGCTGG